CCACAATTTTATTTATTTTAATATGATACTCCCTCCTTCCCGCTAGAAGGTTCACGTTGATGGTTTACGATGCTTGATTGACGATAAAGCAACTTAATCCTTTTTCACACTCTGATTATTTTTAGTAAATAAAATTTTCATATTCAGAAACTACATTAAAACCACTACAAAGCCTGATAAAAATGTAAATTTGATAAAATTTGATTTATATAGTAAAAGATTAAAAATGATTTAAGTTGACCATGTGAATAGTAGACCGGAACATTCTAATGGGACGGAGGTAGTAGTATAAATTACTTTGAATATCTCTCAATTTTTAAATTTATAAAAAATAAATTAATTTCCTCATCACCTAGTGGTGCCCACCCTATTCAGATGTGTACATGTGTAAGTATTTCATGGCAAAAAAATATATCACATGATATAATTAGATATGTTTGAATAATAAAGCGCAAACCCAAAACAAATACGGGGAATGTGTTGTGTTAAAAGTTAAAACTAGAGTGATTAACATATAAACACTTCCGGGGGTCTTCCATCTGATCCTGGCTCTGCCCCTGATAGGGAGTACATAAGTTTACTTATAACACATTAAGGGTATGTTTGGCACACTTAGCTTAAAAGATACTTTTGTGAACTTTTTAATAACTGTTAGCTTTTAGTGACTGAAAAGATCTTTAAAAGAAAAGATGGTAGCTGTTTGGTAAAAAGCTGACCGTTTGATTTAGTTTTGTTTGGTATACAAGCTGTTAGGATGAATTAATACTAAAAGTCCCAGACTTTTTTCCAGATACTACTCTATGTAGCATCTCAAAAAAGATCTTTTAATGTTTGAAAAGTTATTAAAAATTGTCATGCCAAACATACAACTAGAAGCTTTTAGAGATTTTTTTAGACAATACAAAAGTTATAAGGCGGAACTTATGTCTGCCAAACATGCACTAACACTCGTACATTATTTACTTATATATATTCCTTACATCACATAAGATATACAGGAAGGTGTTTTAGCAAAATTTTGACAAGCTGAAACTAATTAAAATGGAAAATGTATATTGATTAGGTCTCGTACAAGAACGGTAAAGAAGGTGACAAGAACAACAAGAAAGCTGCTAAGGAGAAAAACAGAGTGTGATTTTATGTGTAATTCAAATGAGATTTTTCTCTTACAACTGAGCTCGATACTACTGATAGAAGAGGTAATTAATGCCTTTTTGTAAGTTGTTGACAATTTCAACCGTTATGACGACATTCAAAGTTGTCATTATGTCGTCATTAATGTTGGTCAACCCTTTTGAGTAACTACTATGTGAATACATTAATAGCTATAATAATACATACAAAACCGTTATAATAATTAGCTACCATTAAACCTAATAAATGCGTCATTTATTGTCGTGATCAAGCCTCTCGAATGTAGGATAAGTTTGTCAAATTCATGCACCAACAATAGCCTCCTATTGAGAAGTTGAGGCGTATCATGCACATGTCAACCTATTAAGCATCAACTTGTCGAAAATTTGAAAGTACACTTCGCATCTTGGTTCATTGTATCTATCGGCTCGTCAATGACTTGACATGACGTATTGATCACCTTATCTAATAAAATGATTCCATCTTTCTTTCGGATAACTTCCATTCAAATCCGTCTCCTTGACTAAAACAATGAAGACTTAAAGCTGGCATTTTATCTTCTTCCCTCCAAAATTATGTTGACGAATAGATGACATAAATTTACAACATCTTTCATGTCGATGTCGACACTTCAACTGGCAAAGGGAACATCGCTCGTCGTTGAAGATGACGAGTTGGGTTGCGTGAACATGGTCCATGTCCTGCAAAAATTTTAAATAACGTTTCGCTTGTATTTTTAGCAATATTGTCGACATGAGTGTTTGTGATGTGTGTCGATGTTGTTCGTATTGTCTCCTTATGTTTTGGAGTTTCTGTTGTCATGTTTTTGGAGCATATGCTTCTGTTGTGTATTTCTGTAGTTTTGGCCAAAACATTGCGGAGAATCGGTGGTGTTTATACTCATGTTTAGCGTACATGAAAACTCTTACTTCTTCCCCTAAAATTCTGTAAGCCTCCCATCAATTGTGTTTTGATGTTTTTTTGTAAGGCTTTGTTTGATGTATGTACCCCCCCCCCCCCCCCCCCCCCCGTCAATTATGTTTTGACGTGTCATAAGGCTTCGTTTGATGTAAGCCCCCCTTCAATTGTGTTTTGACGTGTTGTAAGGCTTTGTATGTTAGGACATCGTCTCGCCCATTCTCCACGGTTCCCGTGCAAAATAGAATTTGTTAACGTCGGCCATTGGCTAGAAGCCAGTGGCCCTCCGACGCTTAAGTTAGTGATCGTTTTATATGTAAAGGAAAGTAATAAATTAATAATACATATATGAAACTAAGTAGAGATCTATCATCAGAACCTGTCCATAGTCGGACGAGTTCAATCATCTCGTCAGGTCTATTATTAGACGACATGCCCCCATCCGAACGATGATTTCAATTATGTCGTCCGGTCTATTGCGTCTTAGGAGTGACAACAATAAAAGAAAATAATGAACTAAAAATGAAACAACCTTACGAGTATCGAATTGGAGCTCTTCAGAACCTGCCTATCATTGGACGACATGCCCCTCTCTCCGTCGATTTCAATCATGTCGTCTGATCTATCTCGTGACAGAAGTGACGACTCATTCCCGAGGTCTCGAATATGGTTTTCCATGCTTGTAATCATGTCTCAACACTCGAATATGGTCTTCATCGAGATCTTAAGTCTTCTTCTAGACGGATGAAAACCAACTTCTTTACTTGGACATCTTCGAAGGACCGACAAGGGTATTTCGTCAGTTAGTGGAACAGCTCTTCTGAACCTTCATACAAACCTCTTCTGAATGCTTCAATGATGGTAGAGACGTCACATTTTGGGATCGACACTTTTTCCTTATTGAATCGGTGTAAATAATCTCTCAAAGATTCACTCTGTCGTTGGATTACTCGGTTAAGGTCTCTAGTCTGTTTTTTGAGGACCCGGCTGCTTGCGAACTGTTGGTTGAACAGGTTGATGAGTTCTGCGAATGAGTCGATTCCTTCATTGGGCAAATTGACGAACCATGTCAACGCTGGACCCGTTAATGTCGTCCTGAATGCTCTACACGTACATGCAAGCTTTCCGTTGCTCTGGCCCAACTGAAATGGCTACCATTTGCTGCTTATATTGTGCAATGTGTTCCAAGGGATCTGAAGTTTCATCGAACAACTTCATTGATGGGGGAGTGAACTTCCTTAGAATCTCAACGTCAGTGATATGTCGTCCGAAGGGAGAGTCTGTGTAAGACGTCTGCGAAGCAATACCCAATGGTGGCGGTACTCCAGGAATGTTGTTGATTTTATCCTGCATCTCCTTCAGCTGTTCTAAGATGACGTACATGGGGTCCGTCAGATCCGCCTGCACCTGTCTCATGGTCGGGACGTGTGGTGTAACCAATTGGGTTGCCTCCTATCTAGTTGGTGATGAGATGACGATGACTTCAGGTTCCTGCTGCCTTTGCATAGAGATGTCGACATGTCTAGTGATGTTGACATGTTCCGGAACTCGTCGTCTTTGAGTTCCGCAAACAGGTCGTGGAAGACATTTCGTCAAGGATTTGGAGGGGGGAATGAATTGATTTGACGGTCCCGATTCTCCAGTCGGTGACCAGCCTAACGTGAAAGAGACGAGATCTGTTATGGTGGCGAGTGGTTCCGTCGCAGCCGAGGTGAAGCCTAGGTCCAGCCTAGAAGCAGTGGTCATAGCGTCGCTCCTTCGATTGTTTCTTAAATGGGAGACTATGGACACCGCCGATTGCACATCGTAGTACGTAGTTTTCTCGTTGCAGGTGAGCCATCCGTTCCGCCACTTCACGACGGATTTCTTCTTTCATTGCCTCCAATTGCTTATGAAACTCGGCCATCATCTCACTGCTCGTTTCTTCCATGTAGGATAGATTTCTTGCACGATTTCCCACAGACGGCGTCAAATTGTTTTAGCAAAATTTTGACAAGCTAAAACTAATTAAAATGGAAAGTGTATATTGACTGGGTCTCGTACAAGAACGGTAAAGAAGGTGACAAGAATAACAAGAAAGATGCTAAGGAGCAAAATAGAGTGTGATTTTATGTGTAATTCGAATGAGATGTGTCTCTTACAACTGAGCTCGATACTACTTAGAGAAGAGGTAATTAATGCTTTTTTGTCCGTTGTTGACGGTTTCGACCGTTATGACGACATTCAAAGTTGTCATTATGTTGTCATTAATGTCGGTCAACCCTTTTGAGTAACTACTATTTGAATATATTAATAGCTATAATAATACATACAAAACCGTTATAATAATTAGCTACCATTAAACCTAATAAATGCCTCATTTATTGTCGTGGTCAAGCCTCTCGAATGTATGATAAACTGTCAAATTCCTGCACCAACAGATAAGCTGTCAAATTCCTGCACCAATAGAAGGGGAAGCTAGTGAGGAAACGAGCAAAATTATTTGAGCGGTTCTTAGAGCATCTTCATTCATGATCTCTAATAATCAATTTTTTCTATGATTCTTACCTTTTAAATATTGTTATATAATTAATTTTTAAATAATCTCAATATTCGTTTATGTCTCCCAACCATCATCTTCAAATAATCCGATTTTTTTGGTCCTGCATTAACTTCTATTACATATACAATTTAAATAATCTTAAAATTATCTGGATTCATATTTTGATCCCGTATTATTGTAGCAAATAATCTCATTAAATAATTTATGTCTCTCAATGATGCTTCTATAAAAAATTTGTCACGTTACTTATTTAATCTCTTAATAATCCTACCAATGGGGATACCCTTAATAATAACCTGTTTTTTTTAATATCATAATAATAACCTGTTGGCTGTTGTGAAGGAAAGTAAATATATAGTATTATTATGCAAATAGACTATTTCCAAATTAATTACTCGTTTAGGTGAAAGAATAAAATAAAAGTATGGCAGTTTTGGAAATAAAATATCTTCCTTTTGAAGCAATAAAAACGTTAGTTATATAGTCCGTATATAGATAAGTCAGGAGCATTATGCTGTTTCTTCAATCTATTGGGCAATACAATGGAGCCATACGCTGATGTGGTAAGTTTATGAGTTCTTTATGTTTAAATTCAATTTTCTATAAAAATTTCGCATTTGGATGTCCGAATTTGAACTATATTGTTATCTGCGTAATGTATAACTAGCATGTTTACACCTAATAATCAAAGGGGTAAGGTTTCTTCAAAAAAAAAACAAATGGGGCTAGGTTTTTATAGAGTATATTTTTCATACTAATATGCTTTTTGTTATTGGTTCAGAATTGTATTTTGAGAGTGAATACTAATTGTGGTGCATGTAAGTGCAAGATGGTTGAAGTTATAAGCTCTATCTCTGGTACATCATTATCCCTCTAATTTCATTTTAGATGTGTTTAGAAAAAGGTGTATCATTATCATCCCTCTTATTTCATTCTAGATGTGTTTAGATGTGTTTAAACAAGTGCAATTTATTCTAATAGTATTATGGAGTGTTTGGATCTGCCTCATAAATCATTTTTTCTTCTTTAGTGAGTTGCAGAAGCAGATGTTGAAATATTTGAGTGAACGTGCAAAAGTACTTCTAAGTGAAACAGTTTTTGAAAAGTCGAAAAAGATCAGCTTGTGCAAAACAGATTATGATTATATTTCTGATTAACAAATAAAAAAAGAATCAATTCTAAACACTCCTATTTATACACATACCCCTATATCTTTAATTAAACCCTAAAAATGTGCATTAATTTATTAATTAGGTGTATATTCGATTAGCATTGATGGGGATGAGAATTTACTGAAAATCTGTGGAGAAGTGGATCCTAATCGTCTATTGAGTGCACTATCAAGAGAAGGCGAACACGCAGAAATAGTGAAAGCCCATCTGAAGCACCCTGGGCTGCGACGTAATTCGATGTATCCTCAAGGCTCTGCCCGCGGGCATGGCTATGGTCGCTCGATGTATGGTCATGATGCTTCCTATGGTCATGGACAATTGATGTATGGTCATGGCCATAAGCCCCATTATGGTCATCAAGCATATCCTATAAGGGGAGCCCTTCCTTATCATGCTAACCATCCATTTGACTATCATTCCACAAATGTTAGGTGTGTACAATATACCCATGCCTGGTATCTACTCTTCCTCCGTTCCAAATAGATTTGCAAAGTCAATACTTTCCAATCAATCAATTTTAAAATTACATCCTCCACATTGATAATTAAATCAATTTTCAAGAATTAAAATTTATATATTCGAAAATTACATTAAAATCTTTTCAAAGTTTCAAACTCCCAACTAAAATACAATAAAAAATTGACATTCTAATTAAATGAATAAAGTAGAATTGTTTGACAAAAAGCAATTATACAAATCAATTTGAGACGGGGTAGTTTTTTTTATACATCAAAACAACACACACGTAATATGCCACACATATATAGATTTTAATTAGACCAAATGAGAATGCAATCTAACAACAGAAATGAGATTGCATCTTACACATTAGATTTGAGAGTGCATTATATGAAATTGAAACATGTAACGTAACTATTGAAAAAATGAGATTTGAGAGTGTGCATTATATGAAATTGGAACATATAACCTCTCTATTGAAAAAATGTGATGACATAAAATGTGATGACATTTTTATAAATAACTCAAACATTTTTTGTTTCTTCAAATTGCGCATGATCTCAACATGAAATGTGCATCAGAACTAGAATGTGAGCCATTTTGGATCATTTTCATTCTTGCTAGAACTGAACCATATATATAATACGGAGTACATAGTATTTCACTTTTTTAATTTTTAATGTAATTAATTGCTTTCTATTGTAATTAAATAATGAAATATGACTTCTCATATTTATGACCAATTTCTTAACTTTAATTTAGCGAACATTATTACGTCCATTTTATACCGGTAATACTGCAGTGCCTTGACGCCATATCTATAATAATTTTAATCGATTTTTTGTTCATAAATTGTTCTCCATTCTAGTAATATACTAGAAATTACTAGTACATATCTTAAATTATTCATTTACACAATATATTATTTTCTAGATATTGGAGTAGAGATTTTGTCACTTTTAATCCTTCAACTATTTATGTGCGGATGGTACTCACCTTTGAAAATTTCCATTTTTAGTCTCTCGACTTTCGTAAAAGTAATACTTTTGGGCCTTGAACTATTATAATAGTGACATTTTTAGTTCTTTACTTATTGTGACCAAATCATATTGGAAGGACTAAAAGTGTCAATTTGATAATACTCAATGGATCAAATGTGAGAAGCTTGGAAGTCAAGTTCTAATAGTGTCTCTTGCCCAATAGTCGATGGACCAAAAATAGAAAAATGATAAGTCGAGTACTAAAAGTGTCACTAACACAATAGTCGAGAGACTGAAAGTGGCAAAAACTCTATTAGAATATATTTATGTTACTTCAGTGATTATATAGGTAAATACGATGAAGTTTGAAAAGGGTACAAATAAAACATGGCTGAAGGGTCAAATAGACTCTCGAACTAACTTAAAAAGTGCAATTCACCCCTTATATAGGAGGCTCTGTCCGGCCGTCGCCAATTGGGGCAGTTCCCGGTAGAATTTTTTATTTGATGAATTTTTTTGAACATCTTTTTCATTAAGTCTAGTTACCCATACCAAATTTCAAATAAAAATTCAACCGGGAAGGCAGTCAAATGAATTTTTGAAGATAACCACGCATTTAAACAACACAGTACATTTCAGAAAATCATTTGACTGTCTTTCCGGTTGAATTTTTATCTGAAATTTGGTATGAGTAAACTAAACTTAATGAAGAAGTTGCTCAAAAAAAAATCATCAAAAAATTCAACCGGCAACCGCCCTAATTCACGACGGCAGAACATGACCTCTTATATAAGGAGGGGTGAATTGCATTTTTTAGGTTAATTCGAGGGTCCATTTGACCCTTTAGCCATAAAACATTAATCTTTCATCTGAACAAAAAAGTTAAAAAAAAATTGATGTTTTTGTATATTCATGCATGGCAGGTCAAACGCCTATCCTTTCTAAAGAGGCCAGACGGAGAGGATTGAACTTGTGACACAACCTCAACGTGGACGAGATACAGGCATACACAGCTCCTTAAGTTTCAACACCAAAAACCTAAACTAGATATACAGCGTTTGAGATTTTTAGTAACTGCACATTTACTTGGTATTTTCCATGTTAAGATTTTGAGTTATTGACTTAATGGATCGTGTCGTTTGAAAGATGGAGAAATCTGTCTCGATCAAAGTAAATGTTTTACGAAGTATTCCTCCATCCCCTATTATTGTTTCACTTCTTATTCGCTTGATCAATACAAATCACTCTTAATCTCTTATTTATGTATCAAATTTCTATGAAATTTGATTCTGGTTTTTAAGACTTTGTAAAGCTTTAATGTAGTGTTTGAATATGTAATTCTTTTCTAAAAATAATATGTAAAGCATTTTCAAACATCGTAAACCGCAATGAGAAAATAATAGGGGGACGGAGGTAGTGATATTTTCTATATAGGTACAAATTAAATAATTTTTGAATGAAAAACACTTATATAAGGGTAAAACTAATCGGTACAATAGTAATTCAGATAGCCTAACATTACAATAGAATGAGGTATAGAACTGAAATGTTCCAAATCAACATAACAATTGGCTAATCTCGCTTGGATGTAGACTATCAATGTAGAAGTTCAATCTACTAATCCAATAATCAAGACTAAAAATAGTACTAAAACTGCACCGCGATAGAAAATAAATCGGTTCATCACCACCCCCATAAAGAAAAAATAGAAAATCTGATTTGTTAACCATTAGAAAGAAATATATAGAATTCTCAATTTGACCAACTATTGAGAAGATTCAATTGAGCGTTATTTTTCTTTTATAGCATGACGGTGGTTCGGGATGATGGCGAATAATTGGACCATTGAAGTCTCAGAATCACCAATGTTTGCAGTTAACCTCTCAAAAAATCAAGCAGGACAAGAATTATCAATAATCAAGTATAAAGTTTTAACACCCAATTGATTTCATATAAAATAACTTGAAAATACTGATTAAGTATACTCTGTATCATTTTTTATCTTTAAGAGGAGAAAAAACTTGAAGAGAAAAGAGAGGGGAAAATGGAAACTAATAATCCAACCTTTTAGCAGTCTTCTTACAATAGTCCCACCTTTTCGTTATTCAAGAATAATCCAAGTTTTGCACCCCATCTTCATTCGATGGTCCCTGACCGGTTAATGACCTGTTATTCCAAATTATTTTCTTATCTTTGAAAAACATTTTTTTTTAAATGTGAGATTTATGGTATAATGGTTTGCAAAGATAAGAAAATAACTTGGAATAGCAGGTCATCAACCGGTTAGGGACCGATGAATAAAGATGAGATTCAAAGGTTGGATTATCCATGAATAACGAAAAAATGGGACTATTGTAAGAAAATCGTTAAAATTTTGGATTATTAATTTCCATTTTCTCAAAAGAGAACTTGAAAGAGTGAGAGACGGTTGGGGTTTTTATTCTTCACTGCTCCCCAAGTCGAGCAGAAGGTTTGTAAAGAATAGTTATATAAGCTGCACAAATGTTTAGAACAATTCTATTGATAAATTTTTTGTTATCCCTCTTTTGTACACCCCTATTTTCTTGTATAAGGTGCATCTAGTATAAAAATGTAGTTCATCTATGCACACAAATAAAACAGGGGATCTACTAAAGGTAGATAAGGTGTATCATTTGTCATTTAGATTTCTTAATTACAATCTAAACAAGTGTGGGCAACCTTCAGGCTTCAGAGTATGGTGTAAATGTGTAATCATCGTTCAAGGAAATTGCGAGTATGTGTAATAGTACCAGTATCAGTTATAACAATTTGGAATTAGTAAGCACCAGCTGCTGTGGTGTAGTGGTTATCACGTCAGTCTTACACACTGAAGGTCCCCAGTTCGATCCTGGGCAGTAGCAGGCTTTTTGTTGGACTCTTATTTTTTTTTTTTTCCCAGTTTATTTAACGTTATGGAGCAGTCAAACGCATTCTCTGATTCTCATGATTCATCCTCAACTCAACCTTTTCCGATTTCGACTTTTTGGACTTAACAATCAGCGGCCACTCTTTGTTCAATTTCCATGGACGATTCACAACACCCCTAAGTGCCACAATTTTTGCTCAGCGTGCTCAAACAAAGCAATGGTGACTTTAGTGGTGGCGACGACGACGGACCCGGCGTCCCATGGTCCGGCCATGGCGCTGCTATCCATGCCCGGGTGGACTCCCGGACCAAACCTTGACCCGGGTGTCAGAAGCTTCTCTAACCAGCAACTCAGATTGCTTCAGCATGACAAGAGAATTGTTGAGGAGGACGACTTGGATCTTCGCTGGAATAAGGTTTTCGGGGAATCGGTGGACGAGGTCATTTTCCTCAGTAAACATACCGCTGTCTCTAACCGCCCCGCCCTCACTATTCACCCAATCGGTACTAAATTTCCACAGTTTGCAATTTGCAAATAACATTAACAATTAAAATGATGTTTCAATAGATTTTTAGTTGCAACTTGTATGATATAATCTGAGGTTGAGTTTTGTTGTTGTTATTGTAATTTAGGAGTGCCCCATTTGAAACAAGATGATGTTCCGCCACAAGGAGGGCGGCCTGGGTGGGCGGCCCCGCCCAATCCCAGAATGGGTCCTTGGCTGATTCTCTTGAAGAAGATTGCTCAGGATCATAATCTCCTTCCTGAGTTTGAGGTATTTTTAATTGTTTGAGAAGTTTTAATCTTTTTCTTTATATGTGTAATTTTCATGCTTTTTTTCCTTTACGGATTTGGCTCGTTTAAGCCCTTCAGTATAGGATAAGTATAAAAATACTAGCCGAAATGGACAATCTTGGATGAGTTCTAACTTCCAAGTCTTAATGTTTCTCAGAGCTCAGTAAATTCAACAAGCAATCAATCCAGCTAAGCATAAAAAAACATACAGTTTTTATGACTGGTTTACTGAGATTAAAATACCAACCAACATGAGTTTTTCCTTGAAATATATTGTTGCATTTTGTGGTCTGATTCTTTTTGTTTTGTGCTATGTGTAGATTACTTTGGAGGCTACTCATCATGGACCCATCACTACCAAGCCAACAATGTTCATTGAGATAGGTAAGCTTTAAGATAATCCATTGCTACCATATCCGATGTATACTGTGAGCCCGTTTGGTAACACGGAAATCGGCTGATTTTCCTTCTTTTTACCCATATCCAGTGCTATTTACCCATTTTGTCTTCCTTCTTTTTCAATATTATACATCTCATTGCTGCATTTTATCATTAATGCAGAAGATGAGCATGGTTCATTACTTACAACTTTTTATATAATTTCTGCATTTGCTAAAAAAAATTATAGGGAGCACAGAGGAGTACTGGAAGAGGGAAGATGCTGCTCAAGTTGTTGCTTTAGTAAGTATAATTCATATTGACCTGCTAAATATGTGAAAACGGCTTATTTGCTTTAGGTTTTCTGTTGTATGATGTTTGTGTCTGATAATAACATATTAGGGAGTTAATATATACTAGCTGATCTTACAACAATACATGTTTTGGAGATTTAATTTCGTAGATGTGTCATTTTGGAGTTTTTAGGTACAATATTAACTCTCTTTCCTAATTTCCCCTCCATTTACTACATTCATTTGTTTTCCTTGTAAAATGTGGTTGTAGTAGTATGAATGATTTTGTACAAGTTTGTTATAAATATTTTTTATGAGTGAAAGCATATACTCTCGTATTAATTATGAGGTTTTAATGCGTTTTAAGAAAAACTCAAAACGTTTTTTTTTGTGATAATGTCCTAAAATAGTGTTTTCTTGATCTCGAAAGCTAATTTGGGAAGGACTTGGCCTGGGAGGAGGTACTGCCATTGGGACTTGGAACAGGTAATGTTTAAATGTCTGATATTTTGAATGTTCAGACATTAGTAATTAAATTATGTATTGTAGTGAACTAGTGATTATTCAATTCATTCTCTGTTCATATAAATTCACTTATATTTGAAAATTAATACTCAAAATTTGATGTATTTCCAGCAGCAAGACAGAAAAGAAAAAGGTTCTGCTTGGACTTGGTGGAGGACACTATGTTCCCAGGCATATGGACATCATCCAGTTACTCATTTTTTCCAGCCTAACATTCTTTTAGCAGTTGAAGCTTTTGAATAATCCTTCGTATGGAGTAGGTATTTACTGAACTTTGATCAAACCTTCTTGAATAATTTATTTAGGAAAGATGGTGGTTGGGTTGGTCATCTATTGTCTGGATATTCTTTGCCGATGGAAGATCCAGGACAGAGAAAATTGAAAGCAGAAGACATTGGAGGAACATGGCGACAAGCAATTAAAGCAGCCTATGATGCCACAAAAGAAGCTTTTCCTGATGGCAGAATTTTGGCACATCTTGATCAGAAGTAAGTTTGGTAAAAAAAAATGCTAAAAACTTTGGTTTGGGTTCGTAATGTTTTTGTTTTTTTGTGTTATGTTTTCCTTTTTGCTATTCTGAAATTAGAAATAAGAAACCGAGGTGATAGTAATTTTTTGTTTTGTTAAGTTTTGTCAGCCACAAGAAAAATATTAAACCAACATCTAAAATCTTAGGCTGCTCTTTGTAAGTATGGAGTTGACCTTTTTAGGATGGTAACTATTAATATGGCATGGTCCGGTATTTAAACGTGTTGGACTAAGGGGACATTTGAAGTGTTTGTCCTGCAACAACTAACAACAAAGTATAAAGGGCAGTCCGGTGCACATTGGTGTCCCGCATGGCAGAAGTCCCACCATAATTGTGATATGAAGCATGCCTTCCATTATTTTGACAAGACATTTAAACCCGTGACCTCTCGGTCACACAGCAATAGTGTAACTGGTGCACCAAGGCTCCCGTTTTGCAACAACAAAGTATAAAAAATTAATCTTGAAATTATGAGCTAATTCATATACTCCCTCCGTCCCATTGGACTTTGCCAACTTTCCCTTTTTGGTTGTCCCAAAAAACTTTGCCACTTTCCTATTAAAGCAACTAATTTGTGGTTCTGCACATTTCTCTCTCCTCTGCACAAATCTCAACCGCACAGTTTTTACTATTCTTATTTCTCAACTACTTTGCACTTGGCAAACTCTACCGGGAAGGAGGTAGTATCACTTTTGGTTTTGTATGATGAAACCCTAGTCTTGATATGTTTTCATTTTTTGAAAATTAAAAAGGTCTTCTGAAAATTATTGTAAAGTGTAACATGCATTGGTTGTTTCCATTGTTTCTGAAAACATGTTTATGTAAAAACATGTTTATGTCATTAATAACT